AGAGAGAGAGAGAGAGACACACACACACACTGTTTTGTAAATTCCTCGGGAATACAAGGGTGATAAAAGTTCCGTATGAATCCTGAGCAAACACAGTACAGCAACTGTTTTTATCGCCATATATATATTAGCCATTATAAAATAAAAGGAGAAAGCTTCATGCCCGGAAATTCGAGTAAACAAAGAAAACGATACTGGGGAACGATATAAAGGTATTGTGAAAGTGCACTTGGTGTATTATTATCTCGAATTAATCACATCCGTCATGTTTATATATAACGCTTTGCTATAGCATTTTCTTTTCTACTAAGAAGCTACCTATTTGTTCGTTCACTAATTTTATGATATATAATATCAGAAAAAGTGATAATAACGCTCAGGTAATAAATAAAAAAAATTGATTTCTAAAGATAAGCGAAGGTGTTCGTGCCATCGCATAATCCGTTATGCCGCAACGTGCCAAATTGATCTTTACGCTACACATTCACGGTGCTATAATTTAATAAAGTAAATGGAAGAAAGGTTATAAGGTAGATTAAAGATTGCGCAATACATTTTCGCTTCTCCATTAAAATAACAACGCAAATATGTTGTAACCATTACTGTAGGTACTGCGTGATTATCGCCGCGATTTGCGAAACTATATAGATGCTGTTGGTTACACAAGAAGGACCGCTCGGAGGGGTAACAATAGTCGCTTTTAGCGGCTAAGGGGTTAAATCGACATTGCGGCACGTTCTACGTATTCCGTTTGTAGCAAAGTTCCACTTTGGAAAATGTTCGATTTTCCGGAAGGAGGACAAACGTCTGTGCGGATGAGGACCGAGAAAACAAAAGGGAGATTTAAATCGTGTGACATGGGATGTCACTACCAAGTTTCTATCGTAAAATGAAATTTCGACGCTGAAACTCGACAAAAGTAGAAACGCACTTATAAGAGATGTCGAATCTTCCTGAGGAAAGTACGGTGGCATACAGCTGGGAGATAAAACATATTGCGCGGAGTATTATTCAATAATAAGTTTCTAGGATACGCTTTTGATGGGGGGACCGGATTTAAATTTAATTCACGTCCTACACTGTCGTCTGGGTAGAAAGTAACTTTATCTTAGAAAATCTCTTTACGTAGAGAGAGAGAGAGAGAGAGAATTTACGAGGGAAAAAATATCGAGTTAGAATGTAAAAGGAAATTAATGAAAGAGTACTAACAATAAGTAGACGTAAGAAAGAAAAATAAGTAGAAAAAACATGCTACGTGTTGCGAAAGGTACATCAATGATTGTGCGAGAGGCGGTTCTGGGAAAAGTATATATCTACATTGTTCCCGTCGTAAATTCGTATCCTATTTACTATTCCAGCAGGATCTCGAACTCGCTACTCACTGAACTGGCATCGATTCCTACGGGATTCATCTCTCAATCGAATTTGCTCGTAAATGCACGCAGGAGATAGCAGACTGGCGATCGACCTGACTGAAATTTATGATCTCGAGCACTTTGCAAAATGATCGAAATAGTCCGACTTCGATCTGTTCATGTAAAATGCAGCGCATAAGATAAATAGTAAATACGCGAAACGAGAGCAGAGAGGAGCAAATAGATAATGTGTGAAACAAGTAGGTATATGCACCGACGTATTACTCAACGCTAGGATACTTTAATGCCAGACAGCTTTGAGAGAACGCTTAAGTACTTTCCCATTACTTCTAAATAGCCGGCTTTCAGTTGTTTCAGGTTTAAACCACACGTGTTCTAATCGCTTCGCATTACACGGCCAGTTTGTCACTTCTGGAATAAAGAGTCCCAATTTCGGATCGAATCGATATTCCATTTTGCCATCATCGCGGGCTGCGTGATACAGCGCGATATTACGTCACGCTTTATCATTTCTGTTAGAAGTAATTTAGCTGCATGACAAGAATTCGAGCATATGAGAAATGTGTTTGAGTGTATAAATCAGGAGAGTGCAGAGTGGGACATTCCTAAAGGGAGCTCACTACGGCCATTGTGCACGCGTCGTCGAATGTATTTCATATTTTACGGGAAACGAGTTTTACGCAATAAAAAGTAGAATTGGACGGGATATTATCGTACCGCGTATATATACATATATAGCCGTGCTCCATCCGTGCATTTTCCTTGCCAGATTTCGTTGATAGATCCTTCTCATAGGGAAATTGCTGTTCGTTCTAAAAGGAGCTTATTTCGCTGATCTATCTTCCACGCACAAAGGTTGCGGGGATATAAGCAGCTGTTTAAAAAAGCTTCGTAGTTATCATAAATTTAAATTCCGCACGCGCGCGTGGGTCTAGTCGAATCAAGAGCGTCCGCGAGATACGGTAACGCCATTCTGCCCATTTTCCGCGCGTGCACTCACACACATATATATTCTGCTTCGCCTCTCGCGTTACCAGCGCCATACCAATTCCATCTTGTCGGTATAACTTTTCCAACTTTAATTATAACAAACACTCGCATAATATTAAAACGGGTTTAAAAGCGGCACGATTCTGCGTGCAACGTTATACGCCGCCCACTATATATATACGTATAAAGCAGATATTAATTTACATATTCGCACGAGTCGGATATATTCTTCCAGTTACGCTGCAAAGTTGTACCTTAAATTAAAACTAGGAGATAATAATTTATGTGAGTAGCTGTAAGCTACCTTCAATTCTTCGCTCACTCAGCCGCGAGGAGTCTTTATCTTAATAATTTTCGGCGCGTACGTACATAATTGAACTTTCCAAGTTCGAAATTATATCGATTCCCCCGAGGCGTGCTTCTTCGAAGGGTCATATAAAGTTATGTGCAAGTGCTTCAGCTGAAGCCCAGGTCGTTTATACCATCACGAAATACTACACGTAAGCTTTTTTACGATTATATACAACAGATCATAAAGATATGAAGTGCTAACAACGCGCAATAAAAATTAAATTTAGAAAAGGACAAACAGAAGAGCTTAAGAACTTCTATAATTCAACTTGTGTATCGAGAGACCACAGTATGTATGGGTGTGTATGTATGTGTCGCAGCTTTTCCCTCATATTAACGACATCGCTCGTAAGCGTCTTAAGCAAACTCGGTACCGCCAGTGTCTTGAGAACTCGAAGCATATCGTAATATGGGTGATTTTACGGAACGAGAACAATCGGCGAGAAAAGCGAGAGAGATTCTCGTTTCAAATTTCGATAGACAACTTCTAGTTACAAAGCTCTCTCTTCTCTTTCCTCCATCTTTCGATTTTATCTACATTTTTACGGCGATAAAAGAACGTACCGCGGTGGATACACTGCAGCGCAAACTTCTTCTGTACTTTTACAGCCCTTTGTTTCTATAGTCGTTATCGTCTATCTTTTGCCGATGCTACGTAATCCGCGATCGCGCATCGTTGCAAACAATGCTTGACGTTACCGCAAAAAATTCACAACAGTTGCGTGGACAAACTGCTTGTCCACACGTACTTGTAGATCTTTCAGTTAATTGCGCATAACTTTGCCTGGGTTGGCTTTGTGAATTTACTGGTCATTTAACACGTTCTGATGCCCCAATGACCAACGCTGTAGCACATCTAATTACAATATGTGTGTGAAGTATCAACTATGAAAATGTGTGATTACGATAGATATATTTCTAATATCGTAATGATTCATGACATGTGTGTGTGTGTGTGTGTGTGTGCGCGCGCGCGCGCGCGCATGTGTGTGCGCGTGTGTATGCGTATAATAATTATACGTAAACATACATTAATTAGAAAATATCCTATTGGTAGATTCCACGTTAATTAAATAGCACACTGAAGCTTGGGCACGAATTTCAACAAAATTACAAAGTTAAAGCGGTAAAGAGGCATGATGCAGCTATGTAGAGAGCAATGTTTTCACGAGGATACGTGACAGTTGTTGGAACAAACTAAATAGTTTCCACCGAGTTTATAGATTTTCAGGCAAATTGAATACAACTTTCCGTAATATGTATTTATACATAGTTTAATGGAAACACCTACGTTATCTATTACATCATCCTTTATCTGCGTTAATCAGCCGTAATCACCAACGAATACTAGGCTGCTCAATATCTAACGTCACTCACTTTTTTTATCATTTAATTTTACTCAAGAATATGACGTAAGATCATTTTCTAAAAAGATATTTTTCCATTATCGTGTCATAAGTGAAACGGTCCGGTATTATTAAACTGACCGTTTGTGTGTGTGTGTGTGTGTGAAGGTGAGCGGAAATATGTGGACAAATTAAACGAACAATTAGGGTCCCTTGTCAATCGCTGATGAAGCAGAGACGTGACACCGCAAAGTGTCCTGTCAAAGGGACCAATTCCAGGTCCATTACCACAATGGACAAGCTGAAGGTTCGTGTGACACACATAAAGAGTCAAGTGACGGACATTCGATATGACGAAAATTCTTATGATGAAAGGTTCTTCCGAAGGATTCTCATTACGTGGAAAAGGTCATTTTTATTATGATCATCAGATGATAGCGATATATTCAAATTATTGCGTTGAAAAATTTATTTACAAGGATCTATAAAATTAATCGATGTACGAACGATAATTATGTGGATTTTGATATTGATCGAAAAATATATAATTCGTGACTATATATATATGGAAAGAGCAAACCCAATATGTCACCGAATTATTTGCACAAGCAAAGTCGAACGTTGACCTATATGATTAGTAAAATGCGATCGACCAAGTTAAGTTGCACGGCACAGAATTTCTAGAAAGTGCGCTATATACGCACTTTAATATTCAATATTTCTCGTTCACGGTCTTCCTCAATTGAGGTTTTTTTATAATTCGACGTCACAATATTTCACGATAAAATTATCTCCGCGAGAACTTTATTTTCTTTTTAATATCAGAATTACTTAAACGCGCGAAGTCGAAGTAAGAAAAGTTGGGTGCGGCTTAGCGCCCAATTAATTTTAATTATAATTACTCGCACTTTTCAATAAATATCTCGATAGCAGCTACGTGACGTATATTTCACAATATTTTCAATCAGCGTCATCACAATGTATTTCTTCATTGATATCCGTTGCAGAATTAAAAAAAATGGCGACATTTATCGAGTGGTCGTATTTATAAACGAAAATATATAATGTCATTTCGGATCGTATGGAACGTTTTAATTTAGGGTGTGACATAAACGATCCTATTCATTATTGTCAACGTGGCGATACTAAAATTAAACTCATTTCTGTATATTTTAATAATAACAAAAATTCGTAAAAAAGATATCGTAAAAAATGTAAAATAATATTTCTTTGGAAGCAGCCCTTGACATTTTTATTTTACGACGAATAGCGGAAATGTGCGATTTAAATTTTGCAGAAACTATAAAGCTGATTTTTTATAATGTATATGTTTTGCCCGTAGAAAAGTCACGTACTGAACATAGCCGCGCATTTATTGATCTCCGTGCTTTGTGTACGAAAAATTTCTTACGTGTGAATTTTTCAAATCGTTGAACAAAAGCACTGGTTAATATTAATAAAAACGATCAAATCTATCGATATCTGTTAAACGAAAGAACACTGCAATGAAGCAGAGATAATATTTTCGATCTCGAGATAAGACATATTAGATTTGACGGTGAACGAGCCGTTATTGCACATCGTATACACTGCAGTAATTTTCATTTATTAACGGCTACACTAACTGGTACTCGTACGAGAAGTATTATATCCATACAGAAGAGATCCCGCATGGGTGCGATGGACAACTTGCTTCCGGTCAATCTATTACTGCCGCCCTATATACCGCGCATCAGTACCTTCAGCAATTTGAAAGAGCATCCCCTAATCGATCGCGATATCCGACCCTTTCGTAGACATAAATAGTGAAAATATTCATAGTTTCTCGCAAAAACTTGACAGAAAAATCCGTGTCATTAATTTAACTCACGTAAGAAGCTATAACTTTTTCATCGTTTTTCCGTAATCCCTCTTTTATGCATCGAGCTAAACGCACTTTCTTTTGGGATGCATAAGCGGAGTTTTAAAACGCCTCGTATAAACTCCCTTTCTGAATGCGTAAATTAATAAACAGATGGAAAATTTAGCAAGTGGAGTATTTTCGCCGAATGCAGGACACATTTAGCTTAAATTACGCGGCCGTTTATTAATAAAGCTTAACGAAAACGAGGATTTATGAGATACTTTACAAAATTATTCCATCACACATTTCGATATATTTCATTTGCGAACCGAGGCAGATACAAATATTTAAAAATTCTTAATTTTTGCAAATTAGATTCAATTTCGCAATGAAATGAATTTCCGCAATCCGATTTAATTTGCGTACTTTAAACGGGTATTTTTGTATGTGATATTTATTCTCCCGTTAATACGCAGTAACCTGCAGCTATCCGATATCTCGAAAAAAAAGCATGGCAAAGATCTTTCGCGATCCCGCGATTCGATAATCGGGGCGTTTCTCGATTGAGAGCGTATCGCGGGGACATCCGGGCAGTATCGGCAGCAGATTTTAAAGAACGACTCGCCGAGCGATATTTACGCGTCTCCCCGACGGGTGCTCCTACACGATCAGTTATTTATAAAGCCATTCACGATAATCAATAACCTATGCCTCTCTTTCCTGTGCGGCGAAAATTCACTAACGTGCCAGCGCACGTCGAGCATCTCCGTCGCCATGGAGCGCGCTTCGTCATTGTAAGGGACCTAAAAACCGCCGCGAACGAATTACGGTATACAGAAACGAAATATCGCGTTCGTGGACAAACAAATCTGCACGGATTAAGATACTTAACTGATATGCGTACGTAACTCGCATTCATAAACACGTACGTCGCCCACGTAAATATTTATAAACAATCGTAAATAACATTTCGGTAAAGAACAAATGATGTGTCTGACAACAAATATTTCGCGAAACGAAACAAACGTGGAAAAAGGGAGAAAAACGAATTACGTATGTAAAATGAGAGAACGGATACCGCTCTCACAAACGGAAAAAAGTAATTATTAAATTCAAATATTAAATCGAATTTTTTCCATGATTTTATCCATAACTTATATTATCTATTAAACTGTAATCAATAATCTAATTGTATAAAATATCGGCTTTATGTAAAATAAAATCAATATTCATATAAATAATAAAAAAGTGGAAAACAACATAAAGAAGATTTCGAATGTCGAATTACAATCTCCACGACAAATTTATTATTAAATACGTAAATTGCATATCCGCCGCCGTATATTTAAAATATTTTTCTAATTTATTTCGAACAAACAACTTCCGTTGGAAAATCATTTTTCGATTCTCTCTCTTGCTTTACTAGATTAAAACGTTTGTATGAAATAACGTATTTATTATAAAAAATTTAACTGCGTAAATATTTAAAAAATATTTGCATAAATATTTAGAAAATTAAAAAAGTGCTTGCTTCACAATAATAGTCCAAACATTTCAATTGTCAGTAAATATTTTAATAAACAATTAAAATATATCCTTTTAAAATTTAATATGGCAATTCAACACAATCATGTTTTTGCATGGCTAAATTCATGTTTTTTTTTGCGGCAAAGATGATAACAAGTTTTTACGTTAAAAGCTATTCCCGGCTCGATAGCGATAGCTTTTTTGTCCAATTACTCTCACGGGAGAGAACGTTGAAAAATATTTGAATGGCATCGCGCGAGAATCGGGGCTGGGGAAAGGATAGTACTGGCGTCTGGCTGAAAATACGCTCTAACTACTTAGCCGGGAAGGAGCATCGACGTTCGCGCTATAATCATCTTGTAAAAGCTCTCACGAGACGCGTAACGCTTCTATGTCTCGGGTGTATACTCAAAACACTCCCCTAACATTTGCCGAATCAAATAACCGTTTGACAATCGCGGCGAGATAGAATGGACCCGCGGGGGAAAAATTGATTCTCGAACACATCGAATTCGTCGAACGAAGATTCGTCTTCCATTGGCAAACGACAAACCACCCCCATATTTGATCGTGTCAAAGCGAAACGTCTATATAACGAAAAAGTGTTGAAATATTTTCGGGGATACTTGTAAAGTCCTCTGGATCATCATCTTATCCGAGATGTAGATTTTATGAGCATTATCGCGAGAAAAAACTGGAAAATTAAGAAAAAGCTAAAGTCAATTCACCTTGATGCAACCGATCTATTGTATCCTCTAGGGGAAGGGGAGCAACTTCTCCGCGATCGCTGGCGAACGAGCAAAGTACACCAATTTATAGTGCCGTCTGAAGTCGGTAAGTATAGATTGCCGGCGGCGAAGATCACGGGTATCCCTCAGGGAAATAATGGGGCAAATTACGAAGGGACGAGGACCCGCGTTTTCCCTCGTCACCTTACCTATCCACCTTACCTACCCCGGGCGATCTCTCGGATACATAGTATCTCGATACTACGGAGTGGATCAGACGGAAATTCGCGAAGGAATTCGTCGGGAAACTCGCGGGAATGTATGTCCACGAAGGTGATACACATCTATACGCACGAATGACTTTCTATCGATCACAAGAGATGTCGAAGATCCCGGAGACAGGAGATCCGTCGAGGCAGCGCCCGCGTCGTCAGACACTACGGAACTTTTATAGAGCATGCATCGCGGAAGATGTTCGCGTTTATTATAACGTGTCATCGTGTGCAACTCTCTCGCGAACTCGCTGCGACGATCGTGCCACATCAGTGTACCCGGAGAACCGCGAGAACTTCTCGTCGAGGGCCCTGAGAGATTTGTGGTCTCGCTTCGCGTATTCAGCCTCGCGCGGGGATCGTACCTGCGATCGTCGCGGCGGTCGCGAGAGAACTTCCGCGAGAGCTCGCGACTCGCGGCGGCGAGCTCTCGGGGACTCGCGCCGAGAACGGGGGTGGACCCCGTTCCTTCGCGCTTCGCCGGACGATAATCTCCTCTTTCGCGTACCTGAGATCGGTCGATCGGTGGCGCAGGGCGCGGCGGCATCGTCCCGTCGCAGCGCGGCGCCGTTCGACGAGCACTGAGCAACTATTCTGCGCCAACCCGGTTGCGTCGACGTCGAAAAGACGCGGACGCGTTCTCTCTTTCTCTCTCTCTCTCTCTCTCTCTCTCTCTCTCTCTCTTTCTCTTTCCCACTCTTCTGCCGCGCGATATCATTCCGCGGGTGCAGAAACTTCTTGTCGGATGTCGTTAACCTCGCGCTCGGTCGTCTAATCGTTTTTTTTTCTCTTTGGGTCGCATTTTGTTTGCCGATGTGTTGCACCGCGATTTAATAGCAGTCGATTCAATTCGGTAAAGTTACTCGGAAATGCGCACAGTGATATTCTTCGTGTTGGAGTTGTGCCGTACTTTCTTATCTGGTAGCTTTAATTACTCGGCATGATGGGAACCTAAACAAGTACGCGTTATCTTTATTGCGAAATATATAAATGATGCACAGGTCGTGCCAGAATCAAGGTTATTTATATGAGACAGAAACTTCCCCTCAGTCATGTTTTGAGGCAGATTTATCAGAACTGAAAATTTAATTAAACATCGATTATTTTTCATAATCCTTTAATTGTCAACATTAAGGTCAAACATTTCTACATTTCATTTCATTTTCTATCTGATATTTAAACTGAGATTCTGTTAAGAGTGAATCAGCTTCTCTCACATTATCTGATTCGGGAGAACATGGATGTCATCTCATGCAATTTCTAATTTTATAAATGGTGCAGGAGATAAGGATTATACTTTTAAATATCGTGCATCGCAAGAACTTTCTGAAGACTATACCGAGAACGGTGTACTGGCTATTAAAAAGTCTATACACACTTATTTGCATATTCAAATTTCATCAAAGTTTATCAGTTCAAAGACAGAATATAATAGAAGAATCTTTATTACTTCTAGCTCTTTAAAGATAGAATATAATAAAAATGAAAACTAACACAAATTAAATAACTGCTCGCTACCAACTTTTGGGTACGTCAAATACGCAAATGGATTTACGCAGGATTTGTACCCTAGCTACGTCCAAAATTGGGGACATACATATAAAATTATATTATCCTCTTATCTCTTAACCAGTAATTTATGATAGCTCTGGATCTTTATAATTCATAATAATACAGTAGCACGTAATTTGTACGTACGTAAATCGTGCAGAAATTATAAAAACGATTTATCAACGAGACGGATCTATCGATGAAAGAGGAATGACTGACAAGCAGATAATCGAAAGTCATCCTTTCTTGCATCTGTGCTTCTAACTAATAAATAATCCTCTTTAGGCTTCTGCCGTCGTGAGCGGCTTGTACAAACTGTGAATACGAAAGCTAACAGATAAAATGTACAATGGGGATTGGCGTCACGTAACAGACAAATCGATACGACCAAGTAAACCATCGGAGGTATTCAAACGCTTCTCTATCAATCGAGACAGATCGCTGACAATAACGAGTAGATAGTTCCGCACGTACAATATGTTTGATAATGAAAAGGACATACTGGATGCCGATATTGGCATTTGGTTAGACGTATTATCGTGTTATGATTTATAATCTATCGCAGATTTATCGAACTTAACTGCGAGATATACATGTGTGGATTGCTATTGCGAGCGTACGTCGCTTATTTTCTCTATAAAAAAAAACATATGTATAAATCTATGCCACAAAGATTCGATTTCGATTGATCAAATTATTACGAATCATCCTAAGGTAATTGTTCAATTTATTTATTGCGTAATAAATCTGTGATCAAGAATATTTGCAATATACATATCTGGGGCATCTTGTGTTTAACATTAATCGATATTGAAACTCTTAGGCAGAACAATATACATATACTGTTCCCGCAAAACGCAAGTTTGTTCATTAAAGCTATTATAGCACAAGTCTGTTAATAAACATAAGTTAAATTTAAACGGCTCGTAGAAATTTATTCAAGAATTACGCGTTATACGAGAAAGAACGTGGTTAAAAGGGATTTTATCCGACTCGGACAGCGTTGTTGAAGTATTCCTATTGTACATCTTTGTATGAACTCCCATTCAGTTTGTAAGCCGCTCGCGACAAGGGATCCTAAAGAGAATTATTTATAAGTTAAAAGTAGGAACAAGAAGGATGATTTTCGATTATTTGCTTGTCAGCTATTTCACTGACAGGCCTCTTCATCGATGGATTTGTTTCGTTGATAGATCGCTCTTATAATAATTTTCATACCATTTATATACGTATACGAATTATATGTACTCCTATTTGTGCACAGATTATTTAAGCGAGTAATTAAATTGATATTATTAGCCAACGTTATTATGGCATTATTAACTTTATTAATAGAATAATAAGAATTAAATCTAACACTCTCTCATTTCACATATTCCAGAATTTATTATCTGTTTTACACCGTGAAAGTCCATAAAGTTTAACTTATATATCTACGATTTATGAGATATCGCTTACATTTGTTGGAAGAGATACGTCCCTCGCGCGCGTTAGTAGTTTACATTTGAGAGATAAGCCCTAAATATATCAAAAAAGAGACATATATATCTTTATGTGAAATTTCTAAAATCTACTTTTTCCATTTCCCGTTTTTCGTTGCTCTACAGTAATCTTGCCCGTGAGAGAAATTCTTTCTCCATGTTTCTATTCATGTTTGTTCTACGGGCACTAGAATGCATTCTAGTAGTCAAAATCATTTCGCATTTCGTGAATGAAAGATAGCTCGGACTTTCCACAATAACACGTATTTGTATATACGCATATATCTAAAAATGTTCCAAGCCTTCCGATTTACGTGCCGTCAATCGGAAGGCTTGGAACATTTTTAGATATATATACGTATATACAAATACGTGTTATTGTGGAAAGTAACTGGACAATATCTATCACGTTATGTATGATGTAATGACACGCGGTCAATTAAAAATCCGATAAGAATCTTGAAAGACACAAGTAGCAGTGATATAATATGTTTCAAGCATGATAGGTCCCTCCATGCATATATATATATATATATATATATACATAATAACGTGTACGCATACACGTTCCACCGCGGTATCGCTTTCAGATCATTTTAGATTCCACGTGATGATCAGCTATATTTCATTTATTATTGCAATATTAGCATTTGGAACGTACAGAATAACTAGAGCAGAAAACGCACGTATAAACATTAATTTGTGCACGTTGTGCAATGTGCGTTATACGCACAAAACGTACTTACTTTGCAACGTTGGATTAGTTTTATACTTTAGTGTCGGTCCATAAACTTGCTCTAAGACTAAACCGTTGTCTTTAAACCGTAAGTTGTAAAACCGTAAATTTTAATTGTTAAATAACTCTTAAGGACGGTAGTCCACAAAACAGCAAGACGTAAAGCATTATAAAATGTAGCGTATAAAATCGGCCAATCAGAAAAAAATAATTTAGAGCTGCGCACAAGCAAAGATGCATTTAAACAGTCCATAGTGTGTTACAGATTGTTATATGCAAGTAATGCCTTGTTGACGAGACAATCTTTCTTTTCACTGATTGGCTGGGGATAATACGTCAGCTGGATGCTTTATGCCTTACGCCGTAAAAATTGGTTTTGCGCAATTCATTTACGTCTAATGATTAAAGCCTAAAGATTGTGCGAAAACAGCTTATTAAAGACAGTAATTATGTCATTTAACGCTTACAGCTTACAGGTTAAAGCAAGGTGACTTAAAGCAAAGTTGTGAACCGACACTCATAGATCGGATATAGATCGCTCGCAGGCCGTGACGCAAAGTCGAAAAAGAATGGGTACGTTATCAGCGGCGCTGTGTTTGCTCGATTCGCAATCTTCGGGGTCGAAGTTCGCGCCGACGAGACGGATCGCACAAAGACGACTCCTACGTCCGTGTGAACGCGGACCTTTGCGTAACCCTGAAACCGCGATTGGGAAACGTTTCGGAAAAACGGTGGTACCCGTAAAGTCGGGCATGACGGTCCGTGACGTCACGCAGATAGGTTTCCCCGGCGGAAGAGATTCCTCCCTCTGGCCTATTCTCCCTGGCACGCTTCGTTCACTCGACGCGTCTCTAATCTAGTCGCGATAACGACGTCTTTCGAAGTGATTTCGTGTAGAAAGCGGCAGTGTGTCGTTGACCATCGCTGCGGCCGCTCTACCTCGGTGACGAAAGATCAGTCCCGGTCTCTCCTCTCTCGTCTACTCGCGCGCGATCCGTCTCTTTTTGTTTCTCTTTTTTTCTCTATCCCGATCCAATCTCGGTAGAATCGACAAACAAGTCAAATCGTTTTACTTGACGTTATATTGGTATTTTTTTTCCCTCTGGCTGGTGGATATCTGTAACACGTAGTCGAACACTGACGCGTGTTTTTTCGTTTTTTCCCGTATATTTTGCTACTCCAGGTAAACGACCTTTTCACGCGCTACATCTAGAACGTCTGTCACAATACCTAGTTGTTAGACAATCGTAATTATTTAGTCGTTGGTTTTTCGAGCGACCACTCGGGGAAACAATTTCGGAAGAACAAAAATTTATTATTAATTTTGGAAAATTAACAATAATAAAGAGGTACAGGAAGAGAGGGAGGGAGGGAGATAGACTGGATTAATCGTGCTTCAAAGAAGAGATACCGGAGATCCGCCATGTACTCTATTCTGCTACTAACGAGATCCGCTCGGCTCGGTAATACATCACGAAGACTGACCTCGTCGTTCATGGGACCACACTTACCGCAGCTAACAGTATGTGGAGCTATTACGTATAACTTCGTACTTCGATTTGTTGTACTCATTTGTCGGCGAAAGGGAAGGGTACATTCGAAATAATATGTTGCATTAACGCGACCGGTCATAAATTCGAGAAACTTGTGATAAAGTGGTTTTACGTGAGTATATACGTTTACGGGCTCGCAAACTTCCCATACCCCTCGATTTAAAGTTTATCGATTACGTCGATACCATCCAGCATGTCCGTCGTCTCTTCAAGCCCGTGTGAAGTATACGATGCCGAGGTGGTTTCGAAATGGCGTTAAGAAGAGTACGTGGACCGACGTGTGTAACCAGTTCCATTACGTCCTACCACCGATACGAAATATACGGTGCGACAGATAGCTGCCCGTCGGCGAAACTTCGCCTTCTGGAAATGAAACGTGGCTCGCTTGTCCGCTATCGTCGAATGCGCATACAAATATCTGCAAGTCGAAAAATGATTTTACCGATTTTGCCGATAACTGGCACAGTTTACAGGGGGTATCGATACGCTCGTTGTAAGTGTTTCGTTACCCGAGTTAGACTGTGATAAAGCAAAACATGACGCGCCGCGCCGCAACGATAACGCATGCATAGATGTTGGATAGACAGTCGTATCCAAGTCGGATGACACTTTACTGCTACTAATAAAATGCATTGTTATTGGGAAACTTATTTACTATAAATCTATAAAAAACATAGATGAGGAAAAAAAGAATTGAAAAATCCAAGATATTTATTATGCTAAGGCATTCATCGTGCATCTTTAATTCTGCATCTCGATCGTGATTATTTTATAACGATAAAAACGTTTTTTTAAATTAAATGTGAAGTTTAAGAAATATGTTTTATACCAGAGAACTAAAAAAAAGCATTAATAATGAATCTATAACAATATAATAAAGATGAAGCAAATATCATAATTCTCTGGGCACATAATAAATAAAATTGTTTATAAATCAGTCGACAAGTGCACACTTTATAAATTAATAAATTTTTTTTAGAGATAATAATTATGAGATTTATTCGTAACTCATTTGTCTAACATACTAAATACATCGTTGTTTCTTGATTCATATCATGCGTACGTAATTCTTCTGCTCGGCGCTGAAAAAATATTTTTCATCACAATATAATGTCAAGTTTTACAAAGTTTGTTCATGTACTCACCAATATTTTCGTAAATGAAATTACATTCCGATAAATACACGTGTGGAAAATTGCACTTCTTTCTCTATCTCGGGTAATATACAGTCAGGAAACTGATAAAAAGAGAACGCAAAGATAAGCGGGTTACGATTGGTATGATTTACAACGTGCAATTGGTAATCGCGTAGCGGCACATTTCTGCAGTTGCGAAAGTCGCGTTTATGTCACGGATAATTGTGTTTGTTTTTGTATTGAGAAGACGTTCGTATATAAACGTGGGAAGCATGAGATCTCGAGTGTCGCGGTTTTATTTTTTAATAATCCGAGTTAACTGTCGCGTTATCAAATGTACAGTGAGAAAATAAGAGATACGGAGAATCATACAGACAGATTGTAAACAGATACATTATCATCTTTCCTATAAAGCCTCTTAGATAATTTATTAATATTAAATTATTTTTCACTAACTCATTAAAACACTATCAGTACAAGCCAAAGAGATAATATCGATATGCATCTTAATTAAGCCTGTTATTCTGTCAAAACGCATGAAGATAAAATCTTTAATATTTGTCAAATATGTAACAATCTTATTCATTTTAGTTCTTCAAAGATACATTACTTTACAATAAATTTTAACATATAATTGATTTTTTTAATTCATTAATATTTATAATTGTAAAAGAATAAAAGAATTTAAGAAAGATTTAAACAAAATTTGTTTTATATTGTACTGCGTTTGCAAATGCAGGCGCTACAAATAACGCGATGGACATTTTACGTATTAAACGGACTAAAAACGATGAATCAGTAACATCATCATACATAAAGATAAGACATAATGATAAACTTTATAAACTTAAATATCGCTTGGAAAATACCACGCGCTTTATACTTTGACTAATTCAACGAGAAAAATTAGCTTTGTTTACAGACGTAATTTAACTTGAAACATTCTTGTAAACTTTATACCGCGTAACTATACGCAAATGAATATGATCTATCTAAGCACGCGAGCAGACAACTCCGGTTCACTCCTCTCTCGCTTTTAACGCTAATCTCTACTAGCGTCTTACATAGTTATAACTTCATAATTTCTTCGATGAAAACTCCAAACTTTCCAACAATGCCGGACTTCTTTGCTGCATGAACGTAGAGAGTGTGCACTGTGCAGTAGCTAGTAATATCTCGCTTACACTTAACAAGTAGTTATCAGACAATGTTTAATATAGTAAGCCCTTTTTCCATTGAAGCAATAATTTATTCAGGACTTTATTCCGTTTCTCCTTCTTTCTCTCTTTTCCAGCTGTTTTCTTACCGCGATCTTATATATCTTATTTGTCATGAAAAACTTTTCAAGAGTAATGGCGTGTCGCAAGGGTACGTGCGGAGGGAGCTGCAAACGTCGGAGAGACCACGACGGCAACAGACCTTTACGGAGCGCAGCGAATTGAAATATGCTCGTCGACTGGTAATCAAGCTTGGCAGCGCCGTTATAACGAGGGAGGATGAACACGGTCTCGCTCTCGGACGTCTGGCGTCCATCGTCGAGCAGGTAGCCGAATGCCAGATCGAGGGCCGCGAATGCGTCATGGTGACCAGCGGAGCAGTCGCCTTTGGCAAGCAGAAACTCACCCAAGAGCTTTTAATGTCCATGTCGATGAGAGAGACCCTAAGTCCTACGGATCACACGCGGGAACATGCAGGTATTTTTTTTTCGTTCTAAAGACTTTTAATTTTTATTCACGCTATGCTCGGGAATTCCTGACTCTCGATTATATCGACATATTAATATCCCTCCGATATCTTTTTCAATTTTATCTCAACAATTTGACGTTGATAATTGCGTAATCTCATGCGAATGCAGTTTATCTATAGCTGCCACAGTTTTGTGTATACTCAAAGATTATTGATCCACAAGTCCCTAAATTCAAGTTGACCTATTTTATAAGTAATGAACCTCATCTCCTTTACTCTTCCTGCAAGATGAGCCATTGAAACGCCAATGTTGGACGCGGTAATTGGCGCAGGAGTATATCGCGCCAATTTCATGTTCTCCTGCACACACATTCGTCCGTCAGACACAATATCTAGGGTGCGACGTACTCGATAGAGACGCTCGCTTTAATTAATATTTTCATGCACCAGTGATAAGAGACAAATTTTGTACGTACGTACGCGGATAAATTGCCATTAGCATAATTGAGACCAGAAAATGCGATAATCTTGTAGTTTAACGTTGTTCCTCTTTGAGAGACCGATCGAATAACGTCCCTAATCAATAACGTTCTCATTATTCTAATTAAGAGTACATACTGCGAGTCAAGTGCATAAAGGAAGTTATAATGAAGTTTGAAAAATGCAGTTTGTTTTATCGATGTAATTTTCACTTCCGAGTTTACAGAGGTAGCATTATTATACCCATTACTTTAAAGCACGTACGTATGATCGTCAGTACAACACGCCTAAAATAGATGATCATTTTGCATACATTACGAGATGTAATATCATTATTACAAAATGGCTATCTCAAAGAGCATTACATAATATGTGATGATCACATTGTATATCTCTATATAGAATGAATTGTATCTATTGTATAAAATATATTTACTTCAAAATAAATTCTGGCGTTAAAAAGTTATTTATTCGTGAAAAAAATTAATTTGGAAAAGTTAAATGAAATTTAATTGTTGGCAAAAACACGAACAATAATTTATTCTTTGTGTGAATTATTATTCTCATATGGAAAACGTAATATTTCATGAGAACATTTAATATGCATTAACCCTCAGGAAGACAATAACTTTCTCAGTAACGAATTTCCTCTCCGCTGATATGCATGATAGAAATGCTCTTATTGGTATTGCAATCAAGGCTATTCCTCACTAACGATTCATTGATTTAGTACGATATGTGTATGTAGAGAATAGAGACAACGTAGCGTAAACAATTCACAGATGTAATATTAATATTTTTACGTGACAGACGAGCAAATCAATCATATGGTCTATACATTCTAATATCCATCAAGTTGTTAAAGAATTACCGAGCTACTAAAGAAAAATGATGCATGTACTGTCGGAAATGTACAGTCGGAAAAGAATAAGAAGTTTCTTCAATAAATTGTACTGTCAAACCGTTGAAAAGACGTTAACAAGCTTCTTTCTTAAAATGATAAATAACCATTCAAATAAAGATTTCTGAAAAAAAGAAACAAGTCGATCGTTCATAAATTCAATTGACTGTAAGAATATCCAGACGGGAGGTGTTAACGTTTCGATAGTATAAGTTTCGAATATCTGTCTGGGCAGCCTGCCAAGTCGACAGTGTCCAGTCTGTCTATATAGATTGAGTTAGCAATTGCCCGAGGACGAATTCCCGTGGGAATCTATTTGTCCTGTGAATCTCTATTCCAGTGCATTTTCCGATCGATGTATGTTCGAGAGAGAGAATTTTCCTCAATGTCTTGCCAATCGTCCGCTTGTTTTCTTACTTTCGTTATAGCGTCTCTCGAAAGTTACTGTTAACTATATTCTACAAATCGTCTAGTTGTGTCTACAAACTTCTTTTCTTATTGGCATTATCCTCAAAGTAAGAGATAGGACGTTGAATGACTTGCATCCCTATAATACTATATATTCATGCAGGAACTATGTTGGAACCTAGAGCAGCCGCCGCGGTGGGTCAGTCGGGCCTCATGTCGCTGTACGACGCGATGTTCGCCCAATACGGAGTCAAGATCGCCCAGGTCCTGGTGACCAAGCCCGACTTTTATAACGAGGAGACGCGGAAAAACCTGTTCAGCACGCTGAGCGAACTGATTAGCCTGAACATCGTGCCGATTATCAACACGAACGACGCGGTCTCACCGCCACCGGACGTCGACGAGGAGGTTGCCGGCAGTGGCGGCAGACGAGGAATATCCATTAAGGACAACGACTCCCTGGCAGCCATGCTGGCGGCCGAGGTTCAAGCGGACTTGCTAGTCCTCATGAGCGACGTCGACGGAATCTACAATCTTCCACCTTGGCAGGACGGCGCCAAGATGCTGCATACTTTCAGCTCTGATCTAAGGGGTACCATCAAGTTCGGGCAGAAGTCGAAGGTAGGCACAGGCGGCATGGACTCGAAAGTTAATGCCGCTCTCTGGGCGATGGATCGTGGTGTTGCGGTGATTATCTGCAACGGCACGCAGGAAAAGGCTATTAAGAGCATCATGTCAGGCAGAAAAATCGGAACGTTCTTCACGCAAGCTGCCGGCTCGACCACCCCTGTCGAGGTGGTCGCCGAAAATGGTAATATTTTAACTTTCGATTAAGCTTTTGTATTTGTATATACAGGGTGTCCGGTAATAACCGGATAATATCTCGTGAGCTGGTAGAGCAGATTAAACTGGATCGAAAAGTTCTCTACCATTTTGCAAAATTCGCAATCGTTAACGAGATATAATTTTTGAAGATTGACAAATAAGCGTGTATCCATCCGCCTACCGCTGAATGCAAGCGCNCGGCGAGATAGACGCCCCACCGCTGGTAGTTGCTA